GGGGAAAGGGATTGAACATCTGCTTATAACTCAGCTTTGGGCAGGTAATTGACGTTCGAAAAAGCGTCAAAATTACTAACAAAAATACTTCGGCAAATTTTAAATCGGGTCAGAGGTCATGTCACCAGAGGTCATCGATGGTAAGATTTTGCTTGGATAGGGTGCGTTGTGCGCAGCGATGCATTGGGTTTCCAATTTCCAAGGAAACATCAACAGACGCGGGATCTCGCAACGCTGGAGCGTCTAGCCGAATTCTTATCAACCGCCGAAACAATGAAGCAGCACAGCGCAGCGTGCTGCAGCGCTGGGCCGTGAAACACCGCCCAGGGCTATCTATGTGTCAGGGCAATCCAACCCACGTGATGGGCTCGGCTCCAGCGCGGCGCACCAGGTCCAGGACTCCCGCCCAGACCCATGTCTCCCCCCAATTCCTGTCATCCTTCTGCTCTGAAATCGACCAAAAGTGCCTAACCAAACTAAACAATCAGCTCCTTTACCGCTATATCTAAATGATATTGGGGCGTTCCACGTCAAATCGAACAAAATTGGGCTGATTTGCACCTTACCACCGACGATTTGTGTAAAGTTAACTTGGTAGACGGATTCACCTATCCCTCCTAACAATTAATATGAGTGTTTTTGTGCATTTCTACCCGGAATTGTAAAGTTATAGGGTACTGAATTAAAAAAATTGAATTCCGTCATATTTTTGATTTGCCATAACTTTGGATACCCTTGTCACATTTTAATTAATTCAACTTCATTCAATAGACAATTCTTTCGACTTTCATTTTTTTACTATGGTTAGTAGGTTATTTCTGGTAGGGGAGACCCGGGAGGTATGGGCCCCCTGGAGGTATGGGCCATCGCAGTTTTGAAGAAGTGTTGCGTATTTTTACACATTTGACCGCGTAAACTGGTAGCAGCCATTCCGTTATACAAACCACGTGATTTCCAAAATCTTCCTCAGTCTTCTTTGGCAATGAGCGGTGATAAAGCGTTTTTGCCCTCACCGAGTAAAATACGGTACATACAGAAAATTCGTGATAAATTTGAAGCAGGTTCGTTTTATGATGTCAGACCATTGCTAACATATAGTTTAAAGGATGCAAATTAAGACTGGATAGACAATTTGAAGCTTTTTTGCAAGATTATGAGCTGAGATGCTACGCACATTCTGGTGTCCTAAGCGGGAGGCTCGGGCCACCCACCCCCGTTGATCCTAAAACAATAAAATGATGCTTTTATTGAATGTCCTCTTCAATGAATTTTATTTTTGTCGCGCAAGGTCCAAAATTTAACTACAAATTTCATTCGAACAGAAGATATTATTTGTCTTATTTCATGGAGCATGATTGAGTTTACCAAAATACATGTGTGCCCAAGTGACCTGCTATTGGCCGCTTATGCAGTTCCTGGGCTCTAAGAGAGATCAGGGCGGATACCAGCTACGAGTATTGTTCTCATTGTCGAGAAAAGAATATGAAACATGACACCGGCCCATACCTCCCGGGCCATGGCCCATACCTCCCGATGTATTTTGATGGATCGAAAAAGCGCATGATTTATGGAAAGTTATCTCGGGACAAAATAGTTGATCCCAGATGCCAAATATCAGGCACACTTTGCAGGCGAAAGGCAATTTCACGTACACAGATTGTAAAACCGGGTCTAGCCACTGCCCACTGGAAGAAAATTGCCTTTTCACAAAACCGGCCCATACCTCCCGGGACTCCCCTACATATGATTTAAAAGTAACTGCTTTATGAATTTGGATTTACTCGTCAGAATGGAATACTCTATTTTTTCCATATTCCAAAAAAAAAAATATATCACCTACCATGTAGCTCATCCAGGTAAAATGGGCGCTTTCCGCGTCGTTGGTGTACCCGTTGTTCTATATACCCTGCTACCGACGTCACCGTCGTCTTAAGGACACAAGATAACCCTAACGATAAAGTCGTCAAAATCAAAAGTGCTCGGGTGGTATCAAACACTTGTCGATTTGTCGTGGAATGCCCCGGGGGCCATGGCCTTGATGCTCCCCCCCCCCGCGACCGCCGCTGTGTACACATTACACAGGCATCTGAGATCACATACCAGCTCATGCAAGCTCTACGCAGGTCCCGGAGGTCCTACGCTAATCCTTCCCACGAGGTCGTACTGAAGTGTCGTAGAGCCGCCACGCTCATTTGATAGGGCCCACCCGCCACTGCCGAAGAGGGTCTCGTGCCAGCCAATGCTGAGCCCTACGAGAGCATCATGTCAACCCACGCTGATATTCCATATAAGTAAGAGTATAGGGGAGAGTGGGGCACATTCGTGCAAAAAATGGATAAATCCATATATCTGTTCGTCGGTTAGTGCAAAGGCAAAATTGTTGATTGCAGTATGGAAAGGAACTATTGCAGATATTTTTCCTCTTTAGAAGTTATCCTCTAAAGTTACCGCTTCTATTAGAAAAAAATTACTTTTAATAACTCTGAACTTTTGCACGAAACTGCCCCACCTATGGGGCACATTCGTGCAAGGGGTGGGGCACTTCCGTGCACCCTGCAAATTTCGAGGAATCACCGGGCATTGCCAAAAATTTATCAGCAGAAATTGGCAGGGGGTCCTTTCACTTGATTCCTTTCGACAAGAATACATTGCACAACATATGTAGAAAGAATGGGCTGGCCAACAAGAATGTGCCAACTGCCGGCCATCGACCCGCCTCCGTGACCTCTCCAAGGACACGTGAATTACTTGTCACGACGTCGCAAGCAGCCGAGACTGAGTCAGGCGAGCGTCACTACTACAGATAAAGTCATAAATCGCAAAAACGAAAAATATGGAGGAATGTGCCCCTAGGCAGTGCGTACACGAACCTGCCCCAAAACGTTATTTGTAAAATGTTTCAAAATTTCTTATTGAAAAAATGACAGTTTTTCAACAAACTAGTTTGCAGCAGAACCGTGAATAAAGTGAGCTTCTTTGCTCTCAATTTTGAAAAGTTAACCCACATTTCCGAGTCATGATCACGAAAATGGATGATATTAGAAAAGTTTGGAAAGCGCACGAATATTACAAATTTGCGTTTTTATCCAGCATGACAGCAGGTACAGTGTTGTCTTCTACATTGAGCGAAGGGCGGCAATGATAGACGTATTTTCATAATTTACCTTTAGCTCGTGCAGTCACTCGTCTTCCCATAAACAGCAAAAAACGAATGTGCCCCATGCACGAATGTGCCCCACTCTCCCCTACCTCACATCCGGCCATACTCGTGAACCAGTGCCAACGACGCTGACCGCCAAATTTGAGCCCACTCATGAGTGAAATTTACTTCCTTTGTTGGCAAAATTAATACCTTTCATTAAACGAGAAAAAGAAACGCACCGCAAACGGGGGGGGGGGGTTGACTTTGCCATGTTTTCAACTTTTGACGCTTGTATACTTAAAACTTGTTAACTTATTGGGATGACTATGTTCAAAACACGGATGAAGATTAGCTCTTTAAGTTTTGCTATTATCGTATTTATATCTTGCCCAAAAATATATTTCTTTAAAGAAAATGAGTCGTGGCAAAGTTAAACTAAAAAAGGGCTGACTTTGCCACTATGCCAAATAATGTTTTTTTTTTAACGCTAACAAATGTTTTTCAAGCATTTTGTTCCATTGTATGGAGAAGGGTAACCATCCTTAATTGTTAATTATAGCAAATAAAGCAATTCGAGGTTTTTTGCTCTTAAATGATGTACAAAAAAGGAGAGATACATTACCTTTTATAATACATTACATTTTTTGAAAATAACAGACATTTGATAGCAAATGGAAACTAAAAAATGGTTTAGAATAGAGAAATAAGCAAAAATGTGATTGTATCGGTACTTTAGGAACTTGCCACTTTCTTCCGGCGGCATTGAGAGGAACAGAAATACCTAGGCCGTCCTTGCGGCAACTTACTGGCACCCTTATTATCAGCGGTTTGATCTATAAAATGATACAGATTTCTTCAGCCAGTCTTACTGGCAAACTCAGGAGTTGTAGATGATCGTGGCTGTGTTGAAAAGTTGGGCCCAGCTTCATCCATTTTTCATTTTGATAATTTTTGCCTTTCTACACTCCCACTGTGCATTCCTGTGTTAAGTTTCAACACATAAACTTTTACTTAAAAAAAAAACACTGGAGATCAAAATGATGCTACGGTAAAAAATTATTTTGTATTGCATCGGATAAGTATTTCATTTTTGCATTGGTAGCATGGTGGCAAAGTCACCCCATGTGGCCAGCAAATCACTTTGAAAATCGCCACCAAAAACTTAAGCTAAATGAAGGGACAAATGCCAGTTTTGTTGGATATGCTAACTTTACAGCCTTGTCATGATCAACCATACCAAGTTTCAGCGTCGCAGTTGGTCGCAAAACATGGTTAGGTAATATAAAGTTCGGACCTCTTCAAATTTGACCATTTCAATGACTCCAATAAAAAGAAGCGCAGTTAGGTATTTAGTGGTAACTTATCTCTCAGTGTTGATTATATTGAAAGGTACATCAATTATCTTTCGTTTGTGCATAAACAATTGTTACATTCTTCATAAAATATCACTGGAGATCTGCCTAAAACATTTTTTGAAAAGCATGGCAAAGTCATGCTGCAAGGCAAAGTCACCCCCGTTTGAGGTACAAAGCTTTTTTTTAGGATTTTTGTTTGAACTGGAAAGGTGGGGCTAAAAGATAGTATGGCCCCACCTTTCAGCACTGAAGGATGGCCATGGCCCCCGTGCCCCCCCCCCCCCCCCTGGGACCGCCTATGACCGGCTTTGCTCATGGAAACGGTGCCAGTCATCCGGATCAAGGGTGTCCCGACTGGTCCGAATACGAATACCCTGTCCATGGAAACGTCAATTATAATAAGCTAGTGTCAGAATAGCGTCTCTAATGATGACACGTCCCAGCTATACATCAACTGTCAGTTTTTTTTAAAACATTTTTCAGATGTAATACTGTTGTTTCAGGATAAGAACATCGACAGTTTCCTGGGCATGTGTCGAATTGTGGAAAGCGGTGTGGTGCCAACGCGAATAGGAGATAGCAACGTCGAAACAGAGCTCCGACGCAGGTGAGCCTTCCCTGAATTGTGGTGTTGGGGGGGGGGGGGGGGCGATGGCTTCGCTCTGCACTTTTTTTGCATGTTAAAATAAAACTGCGACATGCAGTGCTACGAAGATGGGTTCATCTCATTCTGCATAAATTTCGCATCGTGTGTGAAAAAAGAGAGTGGGCAGTCCCCCCCCGTCCCCCAACGGGGCGTGGGTTAAGTCGCGACCCGTCGTTTTTTTCCGGAGCGACTGGTCCGTAGATTTGTACACCTTCCGCAGCTGCGACGTTAACGTCAACGTGCGTGATTGCCGGCGCCGTTTCAGCATCGAGCAGCTGTGTGACAGCGACCCGGAGCGGCTGGTGCAGATGGTGCCGCTGCTGCTGGACCGGCTGCTGCAGCTGCTGGTGCGGCCGCCGATGGTCGCTGGTCAACTCATCAACACTGGCCAGCCGTGCTTCCACGCCATCGGACAGCTGGTCAAACGGGTGTCGGTGAGTGGCGCCCGCGGCCGGCCGCCGCTCGGGTCAATCCGCACCACCCGAGCGGCCAGTGATTCGGCTGGCCTTCTTAACTCTAGAGGCATTCCACGTCGAATCGGACAAAAATCGGCTGTTTTGCATCATGCCATCAGCGATTTCATTATAAATTTGTCAGCGCATTGCTGTGTCGCTACAGAATTGATGTTTTTTTGTACATTTCGGCCACAGGTCTTTTAACCCGGCAGTTGCTGGGGTATTTCGCCACACATCGTTTGCTGGGGGGGGGGGGGGGCGTTTAACCCTATTAGTGGCAGGCTCCTGGCTACCCCCTATTAGTGGCAGGGGGGGCTGTTTACGACCCCCCTTGATATCTCGAGATCTAACGGGCCGATTTTCAAAATTCAAACGGCATTCGATTTCGCTCAACGTGATCTACATTTCTAAAAAATAAAAATTAAAAAATGTCAATAGGGGGGGTAGAGGGGGGCAAAAACGGGCAAATTGCAGATACATTTTAGACTGTTTATCACGGCCAGGTTTCTGAACCAATCTTAACGCAACTTTTGCCGATCGATAGAGAATGAACCAGGAATTCACATGGATCCTAAAAATATGCATTTTCAAAAATCATAGGCGGATACAGATCATTGAGATTGGGGGTACACAAAAAGTATAGTAAATAAGGTTTTTGTTGGTACTGTTTCTAAAAAGGGTGGTAATGGTCTTGTTATGTTATAATTTTCTTATGAGAGAACGACTAAAATTGTATTGGTAATGCATAGGCGGTGTCAGGGCACCTATGTTGGGAGGTAAAACATAACCCCCCTTTTTGGACGCCTGGATCCGCCTATTATAGCAAAAACGTGTCAAAAGAGGATGCACAATAACTGTATATGTTATCACATGATACCTTTCATTCACTGTTCGTAAAACTGGTGCAGCATCGTGATCTTCGCCCAAATGACTCGCTTCACGAATAGGACCCCCCAATTCCCAGTGCTCTGGAGCCGCTCCTGGTAAAGTTATGAACTTGAAATTTTCAGAGAATGTGCCCAATTTAGTTTTAGGAAAAGTCAGAAAATTTCAGCATCGTAGCTTCAGCGGTTTCGGAGATATTCCCGAAAAACCTGAGGGGTGGATAAAAACAACCCCCCTGCCACTAATAGGGTTAACGCCCCCAGCCGATAACTCGAGAACCAATAGGCGCAGCGAAACGCACGAGGCGGCAAACGAAAGAACGCGACGAGACGCTTCAGATGAGTACTTTAAAGTTGAATTTTGAGGTCACAGGTCGGGTCAAGGTCAGGTCAAACACCTGAAATCGGGCTTTCAGTAGCATAGACTTCAGGACTTCGCAATGGGCGCCTCTCGTCATAAACTCTGTCAAAACGGTACAAAATCCATCATATAAGGCCTGCAAGAGTTCAGATCCATGTAGGGGTCAGTCAAGCATAGGTCAGGGTCAAGGTCAGGTCAACCGGGTAGGCACATATCCCCGAAAATCAAAACTGATATTCGCAGCCTGTGACACGTGTTTTATGGGTAATTTGGGGCGTAGAATACGATGGTGACATTCATTTTATCATTGTGTTCTTGTTTGGCTCAAAACATTCAATTTAAGAAATGCATGTATCATGCATTTCATCGTGAAGTAGTCACGAGAAATTGCCAAGATTCAGTTCAAGATTTTGGAAAATGTGGAACGATAATCGATAATTGAAGATAGCCATTTGATTGTTCATGGTATTGGCAGTCTAATGGCCTTTAGGGCATGTCTGTATGTCTATTCTGTGATTTTATATGATTTTTTGAACATATGCCGTTTTTGGTCGAATACTCAGAAATGATGACGTCACTAAAACCTCGATATCTCAAAAATTTCCGACCGATTTTTTGAAACTTTGTCACAATAAACTTCAATTAATTCCCTACAGGTACCCAAAATTTGGCACGCCTGCGGCGCGCCGTTTCTATGGCCCGGCGAAAAAAGTGGGGGCGTTTAACGCCCCCCCCCCCCCTCCAGCACCTCGCGGGTTAAATATAGAGCTTTTTTTTAATATCGTATCTGTTAGCCGTGTCTTCTCCTCGCGGCCTTTACTTTTAATTTTGTATGTAGGTGCAAAATCTAACTTTAAAATCCGCGAGACCTGTACCTACCTACATGAACAGAATACTTTAACAACCAACAAGAATAGAAGCACTGTAGACACCTATTGCCCAATCATGAAGCATGATTGTGGAACAGAACAACAGACCCTGGTACTTTTCATTATCAACGACAACGTTATAGAAAATGGATTTGGAGTTGATGATTTGTCCAACAGTGATTGTCCTGAAGGTTCAAGTTGAAGCTCTTGCTTCTTTCTTACCTTGCATATTTTCTGGGGTGTGATATGCCAGGCTTGAAGCAAACTCTGAGCAAGTGTCAAGCTATTCTGATATACAATGCATCAAAACACTAGTGAGCATCCTAGAAAGAAAACCATTCATCTATTTTGATGTTTCCACGATCATTTTTCCAAGATTCTTATGTACATAATTCATGCTGCGCTCAACTCACCAAGGACCATAATGGCCACAATTGCCTCTTTCAATCTAAATGTTTATTGGAGTTTGCAATGACGCCAATAACAAAAAAGTAGTAATTATTTTCTTGTATGCCCCTTTCTAAACGCTACTTCTGACGGAAGCATCGTACGGTCATGAATGAGGCACACAATGCAGAAGGTCTTTCAAGTTCTATCACATCACGGTCCCAAATCCTTTGGGTACATACCACCAAAAATGCACGACTCTGCGACCTCAGAAGCTCAACACAACACTCGGACCTCCCAAACTCAACGCATCATCAACACAAGATAAAGATAAAGATAGTTTTATTAGGACCCTCCACAAGCGTAGGTTCTCTGGCGTCCACGTCGATTGCACAGTAAGAACATATTTGAACACATACATATTTCATATGAACATACGCATGATAGTTGACAGTAAAAAGCATTCATCCTACCTAAAAAAAAACAATCAAGCAATGCTGTTCCGAGGCAGCAATTGCACGACACATAAAACTACGTCGCGCAAACTCGGTCTTGACTCTCGGCAGGTGCAGCTGACCTCTTGCCACCGCTCGCGTTTGGCGCGTCGATACCTCACTGCGGTATACCAGCTGTTCAGTTAGGGCGTGAGCATCACAGGTGGGACTTAAAAGACGACTAATGACTGCGATGTCTCGATCAAGAATCATTTCGTCGACAGTGCTCCAACCTAGCTCACTGAGTGCAGGTGTAACGTGGTCGCGCCGCCCAAGACCAGACACAATACGAACACCGAAATTTATCACTTTTTGGACACGCGCTTTTAATGAAGCTGAGCAGCTTCCCCAGACCGTCAAACAATATCGAATGTGAGGAAATACAAGAGCTTGAACAAGAAGTTGCCTAGTGCATTTTGGGAGCTTATGCCGGAGTCTAGCAAGTCCAATCAAGATGATATTGCAGCGACGAACAACGATGTCTACGTGCGAGCTCCAAGACAAGTGAGAGTCTACAATGACGCCCAGGATTTTGACGCTGTCAGATGGTGAAATGTCGTCATCGCCAAAAGATACTGAGAAATCAGTATCTGTGGTTTGATGTCTTGACTTAATAATGAGCATTTCCGTCTTACTAGGGTTAATTTTGAGGCGATTTTGGGTGAACCAGGTCAAAACTGTCGCGAGGGTGATTTCAACTCTACGTTTCAGTGTATGTACCTCAGATGGAGATTCAGCGTCAAAGAACTGGCAGTCATCGGCATATGACACAAGTTTACAACTCGGTAAGTGCTGTGGCAGGTCGGAGGTAAAAATGATAAACAAAATTGGCCCTAAAATTGATCCTTGAATTACACCGTGGGTCACTTCCAACGAATCGGTGGCGCCAGTCACAGTCTGTGTTCGACCACTAAGCCAGGCGGCGAACCACCGGTGGTCGACTCCGTACCAGCCGAGCTTGTCCAGAAGACGGCCGTGCTCAACGCTGTCGAAGGCCTTGGAAGTGTCAGCGGTGACTAGAGACGTCACGAGACCTTTGTCGATGTTGTTGACGGCGTAGGTGACAGCGTCGAGCAGGGCCGCCTCCGTGGACAAGCCCGGCCGGAAGCCATACTGCTGCGGACAAAGCAGATGGTGATTGTTCAGGTACGACATCAGCTGCGTGCACACAATGCGCTCGCAAAGTTTGGACACAACGGGCAGCACGCTAATCGGTCGGTAGTTATTCGGGTCATTTCTGTCTCCCTTTTTGTGCAACGGCACGACTGTGGCGACTTTCCACTCGCAAGGTAGATCACACTGTACGATACAAGTGTTGATCAGTTTTAAGAGGTGAGGACCAACAACGGGGAATGTCATTCTTAACATCTCTATGGTGATGCCATCGGGTCCACACGCGCGGCTCGAGCTCATACGCTGTAGCGCCGCGGAAAGTTCAGGCAGTGTGGAGGGACGGGGCTTGAAGGCTCCGCTGCAGACACGCGGCGGACGGGGCGGGAGAGATGGACCCGTGTCCCGCTCCGCCAGCGCGTCCGCCACGCCCGGGCCGACCGATGCAAAAAACCGGTTCAGCCTGTCAGCCCACTCCGGGTCGTCTGCAGTGGCGCACGTGGCACGCGGCTCGGTCTTCTTGGACGTGATGAGGTACCGCCTGATTTGTTTCCACGTCTGTCCACGGCCGTTTCTGAAGGACGTGGCGAAATAGGCGGCGCTAGCTGTATTCAGCGCCATCTTTACCGCATTGCGCCGAGTTCGAAACTCCTGCCGGGTCTCTTCACACGGGGTCCGGTCACGGTCCAGGCGTGCCGCATCACGTGCGGCCATGGCCTCTCGGACAGTCTCGTCCTCCAGCCACGGGTAGGACCGGTGTGGCAGCTTGACAGACCGTAGCGGCATGTGTCGGTCTATGATGGGACGCCAGGTACCGAGAAAACCGCTCCACATGTCGCTGATGGATTCGGCTTCGTATAGGCGACACCAGTCA